CCGAAGAACAGACTTTGGGCGACCAGCGGATGAGCGCACAGGTCCGAGGCCATCGCAATGACCTTCATCTACCAATTGAATTGTGGAAAGAGGCCTTTCTCTCTCTCATGCATCATGGGCATCCTTTCAACCTGCCCCAATCTTCCATCCTGTCTGGCTCTGCAGGAATGCCCAGCAGATCTCGGCGAGCTCACAACCAAGTACCTGCCCTTCCGGACCGATTCGGGAAGCGTGGCGGTCCTCGTCCGCCAAGATCTCCAGTCGACAGCCTTGATATGCCAACAGGACCTAGTCGTGGTATCACTTGAAGGCTTCATAGTCGCTTCGATGTACTTGCATCCCACTGATACGACTAGAAGGAATTCTGTGTGCGAAACGCTGGCGAATCGGGCACCCAGTTGGAGGCTGCCTTCAATCCTAGCCGCGGATGGGAACGCATGGCACACACTACGGGGCTCAAGAATGAGCTCTATGAACTCTACAAACCAAGCATGGGCCCGTGGATCTGAACTGCTCTCTCTTTTTGATAGCTTGGGCTTCCAAGTGGTTAATGACCCTGAATCTCGTCCGACATTCCGTGGTGGGCGTGGTCATTCCTGGATTGGCGTCACGGCGGTCCGGAAATGGAATAACCCGGTTCATTGGGAAGTCAGCACAGAAGAATCCGGTAGCGACCATAAGCTGATCATCGTTGCTCTGAAATTGACATCCATCACCACGCAACGATTGGCCTTGAGGCTAACCGATATCGGCTCCGTCAAAGAACGGATGCGTCACTTCGTGGCCAGACACCCATCCGCTTCCGCGGTCACTGTGACGGCCGTCGGCCGTCAGTGACAACTCGGCCGTCGGCCGAGTTGTCACTTCCAATAAGCTTTTCTCTTCTCTCACAAACGATGCGTTAGCGATAGTACGCTAGGGAGGGATCAAGGCGCCCAGAAAAGCCTTCTCAACGAGACATCTCGCCACATCTTGTGGCCCACAAGGTCCTAGTCAGAAATATCTTGTCCAGCGCAGTACCCGAAAATCTCCTCATGAAAAAGAGGCGAACGAGCACGTGAGAAGTATGACTCGCACTGAATTTTGGGTACATTGCCCAGGTCAATCAATTTGATTGAATCAAACTGTCGTACCACTGACGCAAACGAAGGAACAGAAAATTCCCCTCGGAAAATGCTAGTGCATATATCTGTCGCCGATCTAATCGTCCGTAGCACACAATGTGTCTCTACCGAGCGACGGAAGATGGAAGTTAAACT